GACTGTCGAGTGGGCGAACGAACCTTCAGTCGGTCAACAATATAGATGTGCCCTTTCTCGTCGATATACCCAACGTCCCCCGTGCGTAGCCATCTGTGTCCCTGTTCGTGCACAATGGCCCCTGACGTCTCCTTAGCCTTCTTATAGTAGCCCTTCATTACATTAGGGCCCGAGAACCAGAGTTCCCCGATAAATACGCCGGGAGGACCTGAGGAGCTGAAATCGCGGTCTTCGATTGGGACGACTCTAGCACGGCAGTTTGCGTTCAGCCAACCTACCGACCTGGGGTCGCTCTCCTCATCGGGTCCAAAGCCAGCAACTGAGCATGTGCATTCTGTCATTCCAAGTCCTTGTTTGATGGTAACCCCTGGTTTCAGGTACATCTTCTCGATCAGCGTCCCCGTCTCTGGATTTAAGGGCGCTGAGCCCGTCACGACGCTCTCGATGGCATTGAGATTGTACTTTTGCGGGTGTTGTTGTTTCGCAAGCATATTCAGAACCACGGGAACCGTGGTCATGAACGTGATCCGGTAGATATCTAGATATAGCAGAAATTTGTCGACGTTAAATTTTGGCATGATGAATACCTTGGCTCCAATCCGAGCAGCATTCATGCAATAATATGTTTGACCCTGTACGCTGTCGTCAGTGTGCTGTCCCTGGGGTCCTTTAGGGCCAGGGTGTCTCACATAGGCATGATACATCGGTAAGGGAGCAAGCCACCGTTCCCCAGAGCTGTCAAGCCGTGATTTTCGGGCTAGCGCACTAGCGCCGGCTCCTACGATGCTCCGTTTGTGGACGAGCTGCGTGGAATTGGCCACCAAGTTGTAGTGAGAAAGTTCTACCCCTTTTGGAATGCCTGTGGTTCTAGTTGCGCAAACTCCTTGTTATCAAAATACCCTTGTGACGAGGTTTCATAAATACTTGCCCACTAGAATAGTTGATCACAGCCGTCGAGGATTTCACTTCTTCCAAAGTTCTCAGTTTGGTCCATGACCAAGTGCCGACCTCCTCAACTGGGGACCAGATCGTCAGCCACGATCTAGTGCTCAGTGTGCGGTACCGAGATAGGTCTTCTCCTGGATCAGCGAACAGAAAAACCCGGTCGGCTAGCATCCCCACAGCGGCCGCTGCTTTCAGAGAGGTGCTGACATTCTCGGGTTCTGTAATGAGTATACTGGCTTCTGAGTCACGAAGTTGATATTCCAACTCTGGGAGAGATTGTCAACTGAGGCGACTCTGCTATAACCTGTCATCGAACACTCACCATTCTGTGATGCCGAAGGAGATGCAGCTGTGAAGACACAGCCTGCTGCTACGGTGCCCCAGAGCAAGACCGGAAAGAACAGTCTATTACCAGAGTACAGAAGCACTTTGTCGCCCGGATTGAGGATTTTTCGCAAACCATGCGCCACCTGCTTGACGTATGTTTCTGCTTGCTCGAGACTGAAGCATTTGGACGGATTTGTGGCATCGAAATACTGTGGCTGAATCCTCGAGCTCGCTGTTCCTGACGAGAGAACAAAGGATGCAATGTCTATTGTGGGAATGTCGAGTTCGTATGGCGACACCACCACTTGTGCAGTTACTCCCTGAGTCATATCTGAGCGATACGCTGGGAGCGAAGAGAGGGGAAATAGGAAAGAGGGAGAACCAGCAACGCCGATGCTGAGGTTGTAAGATCTTGGTTTGCGCCAAGGTATATACTGGCAGGTGGCGGGAATAAAGAACAACGCCTCGGCACCAAAAGAGCCACTCAAGGACGCAACAAGCCCGAAGGGGACTGGCCAGAGACAGGTACAGGCGCCGAGGCTTCGGAGGATACACTCAGGTTTTCATTACTGGGGCATGCCGAGAGATTTCCTGAATTAGAAAATACACCTAACTGGTTGAAAGGCCCGGGTCTACGTGGAGCCTTGGATGCATCATTTTATAACGGTATTGAGTACTGTCGGGTCTCGATCGCGCAGCATAGCCATTATGTACATGCCATTCAATTTCACAAAGCAGGCAGTTGGAGAAACCAGGCGGGGTTCATCGGCGTGTGGACATAATACTAATATAACTTATGTGGCATTGACTTAATATTTGGACTCAGGAACGGAGGTATTCCTGTTCCAAGAGTTTACCATTGACTTCGTGGGCGCGCATGTCGATGACCACGGCAACGAATCTCGCCGGCTTGTCGCTGGACGGGTTCTTCCATCGATGCATGGTCGCCCGCTGGATGATTGCGTCCTAGCAGACCCTGTCATTAGTCGCCGACTTTTCTTGTCTAGATTGCAATGTTTGGGTTGGCTCACTCCGCTTTCGAGCACCTGAGACTCTCCGGAGTCGAGGAGCAACTCGACACGGCCCTCGATGACCGTTACAAAATCCACAGAAATAGTCCTGTGCATGGGAGTCTGAGCGCCGGGGCCCAAGTCCACCGTCAGAAAATTCAGGCCATTCGAGACTGTCACTCGCTGTCCTGCGTGGACGTAGGATGCTTCTTGGGACCTGTCGGAAGATAGATATGCTTGACAGTCCGTCTCATTTTCTATGTGCATCGGTACAGAGGTTGCTGCATAGTTCCGCGTAATGGCATAGCCGCCTCGGTCTCGATACAGCAGATCGGGCGAGTCTCCAAAGACGGAAGTACCGTCGTCTGCGTGCTTTGTTATGTAGCGAGCGCATTGCCGCATGCCATAATTCAGGGCCGGCTGAAGGCCATCGGATGACATTATGCGTATTTCGTGTGGAATGGTTGTAAGTGCGAAGGGGGTTGAGTATACAATCCAAGCATCTGAAATCGAGACGTTTTCTGTTCGGATGGAGTATACTCTCTTCTTCATCTCGGTGGTGGGGTCTCGGTGGTCTAGTAATGCCGAGGGATCACAATGCCGGCTGCGACAGAACCCCAAAGGTAGGCGGATCCTTGAAGGCCGAGCTGGTTCCAGTAAGTAGTACATATAATTTATATCTAGAGTTGGACACAGTGGTACACATATTATAGTACCCTTATCACTTTTGTCTTCGATCCTGGAGACATTTCTTTACAGAGATAGACATCTCTTCTGATAGTAAGGTTGGAAACAGAAGTGGGTCTCCTCGTCAGCTGTTCTGGATAGTCATAATTAAGATAGCCATTTGGCAATGCCGACCTTGAAGTGCTTTAAATTGGTTTGTAGGGATTTTGAGTGATATCGTGACCCAAATCTTGCCGAAGGGGAAATAAAATAAACATACTATCTACCTCTTCGGCAGTTGTCTGATTGGCCCAGCATTTACCAATCTATAACAGCAAGCTCTGCTTATATATATACCTAGGGCAGACAGCCTCCCAATGACACAGGGACCTTGTTTGTCGGTATCGCAGAAACTCTCTACTCATTCTCCAATAGTCTTCTGAGGCTTGCTCCTGTTAGGCCAGGCCAACAGGTAGTTAGAAGGCCATATGACCACCGAGGACAAAAAAAAGCACGAAGGATACACAAGGATATTGTAACAGAGCACTTCAGGGTTCGACATGACGTCCGACAACGGATTGGGGGCCTATCCAGCAGGTCGGCAATCGAGAACGCGTTTCTGGCGCTGACAGGACAACACCACCACCACCACCAACAAAGGCGCCGGCTAGGACAATGAACGCCCAGCACGGCAGCGGCATTGAGGAGCTGGGACTGGACTGATGAAGCACTAAAGAATAGGTAGATGGCATCAAAAACATGGTATATTCTGTAAAGAATGGCACACTGCCAGCACTGTAAACTGTTCCGCACTCCCCCTACAAGCCCACTTTGAGGTTTGACATGTGACTAGACAACTCTCCTTCCTGCTAGCCCTCTAGCAGCCTAGCACAGCTACTTCGCCTTGTTACAATCTAAGTGTGATAAATGTGGTATTGAATCCTCTTTGGCTTAAAAATAACTAAGGAACAGAGAACAACTCCGAGTGCTGAGAGACTGTAAAACGGAGCAATATGTCCACGTGATTGAAAGGACTCCGTCGCAATTGCTCGTACCCGAACCTGAGTTTGTGAGTATCCAAGAGCCTCCTGGCGGAGAACACATGGCTCAAGATGCTCATATTGAACGGCTGTAAGTCGCTGTTCATCCATGTGTGCATATCGAGAATGTTGGACCCCTTTGAGACGGCCACGGAGGGTGTTGCGTGGTACCCATTACGGGTAGCTGTGGTGGCTAAGACGACACCTTCCTTGATGTCTGCAAGCGCATTCTGAACGTCGCCCTCAGTATAAGAAGTATGAGAATCCATTGCACAATATGTAAAAGAGATAAAGCAAATCAAGCAATGAATCAACCTTTCAGAGCGGAAAGAGTGTCGCGTCGCGTAATATAGTTCACGTTTCGGACGCGTTGTGGAAGCTAGGGGTCTAACTCACTCTTTTATACGGTACAGCGAATTACGCACACGGAGAGTTCCTGGACTTTATCATTCTGCTGGAGCTCATGCCAAACCTCTACCCAGTCACTTAAAGGACAGCGTGGAACATGGCTTCGTTAGTCAGTTCCTTGAGTTACCATTCGCAGGTCTAGGGAAGCATGGGTTTCCCACAGCAGGACATATACCGTGACATCGTTCAAGCTACTTGCTAAGCAAACCCATAGAGCGGAACCTTTAATCATTGACGCAAGCTGGTCTTGTATTAGTAGCGTTGGCCGTGGATGTCAATCTTCAAAAGTACGCAAAAATTCCCTCCTCGAGGAATGGACGATATACGAAAGCAAACAATTGCACTATCACAGTAAAAGTGATGTGTAGCTGATCATGGCTTGGGCATTTCTGAGCCTCCTTCTCACAACACAAGTCGAAACTATTGGATGAATAATTGATTGATTGGAGGAATAGAGAGATCTATGGAGTCTTGCAACCTTCTCTGTGGGAGAATTATGGTGCGTCGTGTGTCGTCCGTGGTTAGCCGCACCAGCCTTTCCTCTCCAAAGGTAACGGCTGGCAATGCGCTCGGTCTATCGAGTACCTAACCGATAGGGTAAGGGTCAGGCCAAGAAAAACGTCTCTTCCAATCCCGAGTTCATTCCCGAGGGCCAGCCATGCTGGGGGACCGGATCCAATGTTTTGTCAAAGTCCATTGCGTCGAAGCCCTCAAGATCGACAAAGTCAAGATTCACGGTCATTTGTAAATCAGGTAATACCGGTGTCTGGTTTGTATCTGACACATATGGTCGTTCGGGTGGGGTGAGGGCTCCAGCGCTTTCGTCAGTGGTGAAGACTTCTGGAATACCGTGAGAACAGGAAATATTCGAGCCCAAATTCGCTGGAGGGGATGATGGCCGTGAAGGAGGAGGATTGGGGTTGGATGCGCTTCTTCGCTGACAAATGGCTAAAGGAAGATCGGTCGCCTTTGGAAAGTGGCCTCTCTGGATGGCCATTTCGAGTGAGAAGATTACGTGTAGGAATACCCGTGGATGATGCGCGAGCAATGATTGCCAGTCCTCGATACTCGTTGCCTGTGCCGCTTCGACTATCTGTCTAGGCTTAGCGTCGAAACTCGTTTGTGTCGGTACCATGGTTGCGCTCCGATGGCTCTCTGTCGAACTGGGATAGCCGGGTTGTGTCCACGTCCACATTGCGGGTTCTCCAAGATGATCAGTAAGCCCTTCAAGCGAAGGCCGAGCACGCTTTACTGCCTCCAGAATGAAATATGAGAGGTCGATTGTGCTTGATGATGACCGTCCACAAAGCTTCAATGATTCGAGGATATGCATCGGATACATGGACGACCCTTTTTGGTGCCCTCGAACAGCCAGTTGACTGTCGAGTACGTAAAGCAGGAGAGGTTGCGCGCAGCAAAGCATCCTAGAGTAGCGAGTATTAGCATGGCTTAGTATACACTGGACAAGGTAATGTCAAGGGTCAACTTACACTTCTATTGGTAGGGAGCATGGGCTGCCACGCAATGCGTAAGCCCGGACACTTTTGTTCAACGCCACAACAGAATCTGCCAGCGTCTTCTGGACAGCTTCTTTGCGGAAGGTCTCCCCTGCGCAAGCGTACTCGGGCTGGGTTTCCAGAAGCAGGATTTTGTACTGTTGCAGCGCGATTTGACCGGCCCTAAAGTTTTTGCATCAGCGGGAATTTAAACGGCGTGGGGGGATGAACTTTACCAGTGATACAGCTGGCAGACCTGCAGTTGAAAGACACAACTATCATACGAGTCACATGCTGTAGGGACTGAGAGCAGGAATTTGGACACTCGTTCAAACCAGGCCTTTGTGTCTGATTCGATCCCCTTGAGCTTCCGCATCGTCTGTTCCAGCGAGTCACTCGCGTTGGTTGGGCTGTGGGACATTCGCCCGGGGGAGTAGACGAACATAATTAAGTCGGTTAATGCTGATGCCAATGAGCACTGTAGGCTAAGAACTCCTGCCAGCAACCTCTTTACTCCTGCGGCATAGACCTCTGAGACGTGCATCTCGTCCTCGACGTCAGCTTCGTCCAAGCCATCGTTCCTCGGATCGAATACGTGAGTTTGAATTTGAAGCGGCCTCCTGGTCGCGAGGGCCATGGCGCGGTCGCGAAGAACTAGGCACCACCAGAGTCTTTTCTGTATTCGCATCTCTCTTACATCCACTGTTGCAGCATATGTATGTGCCCCGCTGGCCACCGCATGTCCAACAGCACTCGTCAACCAAGGCCTCCCAGCATGTAGCCTGCCTGAAGCACTGTAAAAAGTCAAAAGTGCGCAACCTTGGATCTTGGATTGAACATCGTCCTCATAACCCAGATCGTATAGAAGCTATGCACAATGAGGAGCTTTTTTCTTGTGGTAAGACGGTATCTGCGACGTACCTTTGCCCTTTGATAGAAAAAATCGCGGGCGGAGCACAGATCATCAAATCCCAACTCCTGAGCCAGAGACACCGGACAGAACTTTGTGAGTCAGTAAAGTAATTCACAGTTGGAAAGAAGGGCTTAACGTACAGAGCAGCTCGCGCAAAGCATTGCCTGTAGCACGAAAAGTGATAACCTTTGTGCTTCAGGAACAACATGGGTTCCGTTCCCGAATATCACTCGGAAACGAGCTTCATCGACGATCGGGAGCGAAGGGTGTATGTGCAGGAAGTAATTCCGCATGAAATGTTGTAGCAGCGGCCTTGAAGGCAATTTGAAGCAGCCTTTCTTGTTGAGGAAGTCGACATCATCAGAAGGGAGGTTTTTGAGGCATTCTGACTGGCAGAACTCGTATAATGAAGACCGAACGAGTCCATCTTCCAGTGGTATAAACGGATTGCAGGATGGCTTTTTGGTAACAGATTGCGCCAAGTCCCCTATTTCTGTTACTGTAGTTGATTCAATGTCAGAGCTGAAGTAGATTATAGCATGCGAAGTGGTCCGGCCAACAATTAGGGAAATGCAATATCTTACATTGTTTCCAAATCTTCATAGTTCCTGGATGCGCTGGCAAAGGGGCAATGGGGTGCCTTTTGACTCGTCGGTCCTTGTCCAAGGATTGCACTTGGAAGGTAGACCTCTGACTATATCGTTTGTTAGCAAGGCTGCCCAATGCGCTGAATCATATCACGCACCTCTTCGAAGCTCTGGATCTTAGCACACAGGAAGATCCATCCAGCTGACAATTTGTGCAGGATTTCCCCCGAAGACACAGGTCGCATCGAACTTTTCTCTCATGGCATCTGCGACAAGCCATACATGCCCTTTTCCGTGAGCGAATTCTTACCTGTCCCGCAACTTCAGATCTTTCTGGCGCCGCTTGCTGTTTCGTGTTGTTTTCTTGAGGGGAGGCCATGGCGATGTATCCATTGCCTTGTTCAGTCGCTTTCTTGCTGAACAGGTCGGCTTTACAGTAGAAACGACCCTACAACAAGACGATAAGCCAGGTCGCCAGCAGAGAGTCCCAGGTACCACCTCAGGCGTTCCTTGCATTAGCCCAATTGGCTTCTGATTGGCATGATCGAACCGCTGTCAAGGCCTCGTCAGTACTATAGGCCGCCAATAGATGCCGAAGTACTCGGTGGAGGTCATGACGCTATACTATACTTTGGCGCATGACCTTGGGCAAGCCATGGGCTAGTTCCGTCCGGCCCTCCAAACTGCTTTACCATCCTTACCAGGAAGTCCAACTGCGGGCGGTCGGCCGGCTAAAAAGACATCCTAGCACGAAGCATATCCTTTAGTGGCTCTCTTCGGCGCCGAGTAGCCAATAGGTGGAGTGCTAAGTAGCCACCGGGACTTCTTCGTCGTGACCGAAGGGGTTTGGACCCCGCTCCATACGGGCTTCTAAGGCCTACCTTGTACAGTACGGTGGCCGAACACTGTCTCCACTTGGGCTCGCTCGCTTCTCTTTGTTCATCGTAAACCTTCAATTGACTTCGAAGTTAGCCCTGTTTAGCCTGGGGAGATTGTGGGGAGAGGCGTGCCCAGCGGCAGGTGGCAAACTCCTCAACAAATTACTCGCCCTCTTGTGGATGCCCAGTGTGCCTCGTAACTCCCCCAAGCTCCCTTGACGATTCACCCTCAGTTCAATCCCTTCCACTCTCTACCCCACACTGGGCGGTCAGAATCCGGGGCTCTTCTCCACCCCTGATTCGGACTTTTTCGCACTACAAAGCAGCTCAACCTGCTCGGTCACCAAATTCTTCTCCGCCGGACTCAGTCCTCTCTCTTTCACCTACATGGCCGTCTTTCTTTCTGTCAGGTGCGCGTCTGGTGTCTGGTGATGATGCCCGTGACCTCTCTTCAGCTCCCTGCCGGCGTCCAGGCAAACGGCCCTGCTGAGCTTATTCAACAGCGCACCGGCAAGAAAATTAGGGCTTGCATACCTTGTCACGACCGAAAGGTCCGCTGTGACGCGACCGACGTCGGTCTGCCTTGCACAAGGTGTACTGCGGCAGACCGGGCATCATTGTGTGTGCTAGTAGTCGCCTCGGACAAGACGGGGGGGTGAGATCCGTGCCTCTGTTCACCGCGCCGGCAACCTTGCTAATTCGCTACTGTGCCCAGGGGCAAACGAAAGAGAGCCGACATTTCGGCTGGTCCAGGCCACCAACCTCGCGCCTTGCAGCCATTATGCCAGCCCAGTTCACTCGGCCGCTCTCAGTCCTCCACCTTTGACCTCGCTTCTGTCCAAGCACCGCTTCAGGTAAGTGTCACGTGTAACACCCCTTGCTCTTCTGGTTGACAACCCTCATTTGTGACAGAGTTCAGCTTTGCGGCCGCCTTTCCAATCGCTCACCGATGATGGGCAGCAACAAGCACAGCAACAAGCACAGCAACAGCCGCTGCAAGCAGACTTTGACCCAGAGCTACTTGTTTGCTCTGTGAATCCGTCACCGCGAGCAGAAGCCGCGTCACCGCCGGAGAACATCTATCAGCCACTATCTGGCGAAGGAGATGGCCAGAGCATACCGTCAGCCGCCTCCCACCCAATCCAGGAGGATGACTCCCAGCTTCAGATCTGTCGTGAGATGACCCGGTGGGACGAGGAAGTTACCTCGCCGACGCGACGAGAACACCTCGGCCAGGGCCGTGAAGTCATGGAATATCACGGTGGGACCAATCAAATGACGATCTTGAGCGAGGTCCTAGGAAGGTTGCGCCCGAAGAGATTCGTTCGAATAGTCTTGAGCGATACCCTCCCCTCGATGCCGAACGTCTGTTCGTCCCTTCGACCCGATTTGACGCGAATGGACAAAGTAGACAGGGAGTACTTAAAGAAAAAGCGAGCCTTTGACTTTCCACCACGACACGTCTGGTAGGTCCTCCTGTTCTCTCTTTTGCCACCCTATATGACCTGACAGAGCAGTGACCGGTTCTTACGTCTTTATTTTGACTGTGTGTATCCGTATGCACCGATCTTGGATCGCGTGGAGTTCGTGCAGCAGTACAAGAATGGCAGCTACTCAGCGTTTCTATTGCAAGCCATATTGGCCTGCGTGGCATCCTATGCCTCGTCACAACTCATCCGGGAAGCCGGGTTTTCAGATCACGTCACGGCCCAAAGGACCTTTTTCTTGCGAGCGAGTTTACTTTGCGACCTCAAGGCTGAATGCCAACAATTGCGATTGTTACAGGGATCCCTCGTTCTGAGTCTCCTAAACTTCACCTTCGCCATCGACAAAGATTACCGCTACTGGCTTTCCAATGCCGTGCGTATCGCGACTCAAATGGGCCTCCATCAGGACAATGTAGCAAAAGATTTAGACACAGGCACGAGGACACTCTTCCGTCGCCTGTGGTGGGTTATTTACAACCGAGACGCCCTACTGGTCTCCAGCGGTCTCGACAACGCACGGCGGATACACGACAGCGACTTTGATACCTCGGAGTTGGAACTGTCTGATTGGCCAGAAGAGAACATTACCGAAGACGTTGCAGATGTCTTGCGCCCAATATCACGATTGCAAAAGCTTTTCCTTATTGAGAGCTGTAAGCTGTCGCGTATCAGTTGGTGTTTTCCGATCTTAGCTTGAATGACGCTCCTAGTTGGTTAACCGCATCACAGGTGCACACTACGTACAAACATCGCGTTTCTCAGAGACAGCATTGACGAAAGGGTGGTCTGAGCTGGAGGCTTCTCTCGCCACATGGCGGATGCAACTCCCTGCTGAGATGCGGACTGAAGGTGTCTACGACTGGTGCCAGACTAACATTTGGCCCTTGGTCCTCATGGCGAGGTGCTACCTGTTGGAGTGCATCATTTACCGGGTTCTACGGGATAGCTTCCGTGCATCCGGAGATGCCCCTCTGGCTGATCGTTCAGCGCGCCGGCTTCGAACGGCGATGTTCGAGCTGGACTCAATTCTAGACAGAATTATGCTCCACAACCTTGCTCGGTACTGCCCCTTGTATATGTGAGCGCTTTCTTTCTCATCCCGAGAGTAGACGCCTTAGCTGACTCATTTAACCAGGATGAACTGCACCTCCACTCTCCTCGCTCTCCATATCGAGACAGCGCTCCATCAATCGGCCAGCGAAGAGGATCGTCTGTCTGCACGCATCCGCATTCACCAAGCGCAAAAGTACCTCCGTGGTTTATCTGATTATTGGAGTTCTATCAAATGGGCTCAGCGACTGTTTGAGGTGATAGTATCGCGTACAGGTCTCTCTCTTATAGTCCCGCCGCAGCCGGTATTCGACCTTCATTCTTCTAATCCATTCAACCTTGGCGGGAGGAACAACGGCAACCTTGCAAGTGGCAAAGTCGGAGATGCCGCGGCTGAGCCTAACAACAATAATAGTCCGAGAGAGCGTCCAGACGCGCTCCCCAGTCCGGCGACTTCACCATCTTTCATCGATTTTGTGGACATTGACGACACACTCGGCAATATGATGGGTAGATACGCCGAAGACTGGCTTCAGGACCTCTTCGGTGATGATTTTGGTGCGTTGGACGAACAGTGGTCGAGCACGCAGTAATCCTATCCTGCTCAAGAGACGGCCGATTATTCATTAATTTAACTGCACACACCCCCTTGGAACACTGAGAGACAGTCATCCATAATAAATAGTATTACTCTGGAAGTGTCAATGGACCTAAGGACATGGTTTTCAATTCGTCGGGGCCGAATAGCTAGGCCTAGCACTCCAGGTAGTTCTAGCCTTCAAGCTGTGGCTACCTTGGTCCACTAACGACTGCTAAACTCGCGTTGACATTGCTTCAGAAGATTCAATACTCGGCTATCTCAACGGTGAAACTCAGACTCTTTCCATAGATATTCAAGATGCTTAGAACCCCGTGCAACGGACATTCAGTAAGCGCGATAAGTTGGCAGTGCATACTCACCGGCCTCACTAAGTAGCCGAGCTCGAACAATCCCAAGCTTCGTCGGCGGTCCCCCCCCCGCGGAGGGGGAGGGAGGGGAGGGGCCTTGAACCGCCGAAGCGGCCCAGCTCCCGACGCTACAGCATCTCTCTGTATAAAATGACCTTCCATGTGAGTCGAGAGTAGTGAAAAACCGTCTTAGTCACTTCATTCCACTGCTCATAACGATGGGGTCACTAGGCAAAAAGATGCCATACCAGGCTTACAGAAAGGGTGTGGTTGACTGCTCTACCCCTGTCGACACTAGTTCCATCAAAGGCAAGAGTGTCGTGATTACGGGAGGTATGATGGAGTTGCTCGCTCCTTAATGTGTCTCTACTAAAACAGCGAACAGGTGCTGGTGGCATGGGCGAGCAAGCCGTGTACGCCTTTGTCAAAGCAGGGTAAGCGACGACACCTTCAGATGCTCTCCTCTATTCCGAGAGAATTGATGGGCTTACTCTTGTCAGAGCGTTCGTTACCTTTGGGGATCTGTCAGATGAGGCAGGCAAAAAGATCGAAGCCGATCTCGCGCCGTAAGACGAGTGAAATCCTAATTTCATGATCCAGACCGCACTGATTCTTGCTGAAGAAACGTTAAATTTTGCCATTGTGACGTGACCAGCTGGGACGATCAATATGCCATGTTCCGGGCGGCAAAGGAAATTTCACCCAGCAAGAGTATAGATGTGGTTATCGCCAATGCTGGAATCACCGGCCCAGATCCTATATTTTATGGAGAAGGTATTCTTGACCCAACTTCGGGCATTCACGCCACGAACTGATGTTTTCATTAGAACCTGATGAGGAGCCCAAAAAGCCGACACTCAAAGTGTTAGACGTCAATGTCAACGGTGCAATCTATACCCTTAAACTAGCCCGGTATTACTTCCTCAGGAACGAAGAAGGCCCTGGACGTGACCGGTGCTTTATAATTATGTCGAGTCTTGCAGGCTACGGTGATGTGCCAGGCGGAGCAGTCTATA